AAGCTTGACGTCACTGTACCCTTGTTTCTGTGCGGTGTTTGTGTCTTCGCTGGGAACAATAGCGTGAACTGTCACAGTCTTGTTTTAGTTTCAGAACAGGTTTTACGGCGCTCGCAACTGCATAAGGTCATATGAGCGTCAGGAGGTGAGAGGTGTTACAAGAGAGTAACAAACATAAAAAAGAAGGAGCGGAGATAAGGACGATATATTTTTGTATTGGAAAGAAAAAGCCAACCGCACCAGAGCACCCGCCAGCCATCCACTATCACAGTCTGAGTAGCATACTTTAACACTTACTCACGTGAGCAAATATATCATTCAATTTTTTGGGGGGACAATTGGTCGCTTTTAAGGACAAGCGGGCTAACCCAGATTTCGAGGTCGCTTATAAGCATAAGGGTGCTATCCCGAAAAAGGCTGTTTTCAGAAAATCGAAGGTAAAATTGTTGCCCCTTGTTCAGTTTTCTCTATAACCAAACAAATATACTCACCAGTGAAACCAAACTTCTCCTATAGGTAGGGCAAAGCCCACTTTAGGTGTAGGTCAAGATTTCTGGAAACTCCCGAAATCTGGGTTAGCCCGCTTGTCCTTAAAAGCAACCAATTGTGGGTTTTTTTTTCTTCAATACGAAGCCGTTGATCACAATTGCATGCAGTCCCTATACTGTAAATTACAACATAGCGTTATGGAGGTATGATAACGATACAAATGAAAGGCCTACGCTTTTTTGATACTTGAAACATCTGAGCTCTTCCTTGTGAGTCCGTGTTTCTCTTTTATGTTTCAAAGCTACTTGGCACGTTTCATCCAATCCGTACGTTGTGTTTTACTATCGTATCTATACGACGTGGGGAACTCTGTGCAACCACTTTCCAAAGAGGAAATTTGCTCGTTTATCCGATCCGTACGTTTTGCATAGCAGTCTGTCAAAATGATTTTTTTTAGAAATACTGAAAGTTTCAAAGAGATCTTCGCACTACAAGTATTCTAAAATGTGAAGGATGCAACCTTAGGGGTACAAAATTACCACAGGGCGTACGTATAGCGTTAAAAGATCAAATGGCTAATAAATTAGTGTCTTCAAATATCATTTGGCCTCTTGAAAAAATCGCCATGTAGTGTAAAGTGACTCTTAATTTTCAATTTCTTGGGTGCTTTAAACATCGATTTTGGAGAGAGAGAGAGACAGAGAGAGACAGAGAGAGAGAGAGAGAGAGAGAGAGAAAGAGAGAGAGAGAGAAAGTGTGTGTGTGTATGAGAGTGTGAGTGTGTGTGTGTGTGTGTGTGCGTGCG